GGTTCGGTTTTTTTTCATGAACCGTGCCATCCCTATTACCAACACTATTGGTGATACATAGGCGCTACTGCTTTCCTGAATAACACCTTTGCTTAAGAGTTTAGAAATGTGCTCCTTTACGTCACCATACTGGGTGGGCGGTACTCGCCAGTAAGGCTGGGTAACAGGATCATCATCCGTTAGGTGAATTTCATGCCTTACCCTGTCTGTATACCCCAGGTCCTCGTCCTCTACTGCAAATATGTCAATATACTTGGCCAGCAGTGACTTCAACTGAACCTTTTGTTCCTCATTACAACCAAGGTCAAGTGTGTCTAGAACAGATAAATCACCGTTACAACCAAGAACAACAACTGTAACTTGCTCAATGCTAGCCGTGATCTGCTGAAATTTTACTGTACACTGCGATTCATTCTCTATACACGCCACTTTTGACAGGACACCCAACCGGGCCCTTGGCAGAAGCCATACATCTTCTTGTGAGAGATTCAGGACTTGGAACTGTATCGTGGGACTGTGAGGATCAACCAGTGTGGAAATTACTATCAGACCTCTCGGTAATGGCGTGCTAAGTGGCTCAAACAACATCAGACCATTACATGCACCCTTAGCGACCTGGATCGTGGCTATGGATGCAGCGGGTATGTGTTCTGGGTACTTTCCAGCTACAGGGACCACTGACTTACGGTCAACACTACAATTCTGCAGTCTCTGAAAATCAGATTCTCCAATCAGAATCCAATTTTCCACCCAGCGTAGTATCAAATTCCACATAAACGAGCTCCCTACACCGACTGATAATGTTCATTCCCACAATGCAGGGTAAAGACTGTTCAGCACTAACATGATCCTTGACCACCAGAAAGCCACAATTGTGCAGCGTCAAGCCCATTGCTATTACCTCTAACTGCAGATAAGCCAGATAAGGTATGTCTGGTCCATTGGTGGCTGTTAATCTAAGCCAGCCAGAGGTAGGAAGTATATTCTCATCCTCTCCATGTAAGTATTTTCGAAAGAATTTGTGAAAAAATTCGAAAGAATGGTGCTCACCTGGCTACCAGTATCTAACAGGCAGGGTGTCTTAATGTCCGCAATTTTAAGCTCAACAACAGGACATGTCCCTACAGCCCGCTGCAGCAACTGACTCTGGGATGACGGTGTAAGATTTGAGTCTAAGGTATTCCCCTGAATTGCTCGACTCACAACAACTAGGAGGGGGGGCGTTTCCCTGAGCTGCAGGGGAAACTACACCTCCAGCATTTTGCCTCTGCGAGCAATCCTTTGCCACATGCCCCGCACCTCGACACTTAAAACAGATAGGCCGCCCATCATCGGTATACCTGGGCTGTCGTTTAGGCCTGATATCACTACTAAATCCACCCTTCTGTATGGCAAGATCTTTCACCGCCTTGGTCAATTCACTAATGGCTTTGCCCTGGTCAGCTATCACCTTAAGGACATCCTCTAAGGTGGCAGAATTTGCTTCCTGCGCTTGTAAGACGGAACAGTGTGCATGATTGCTGCAGCACCTCAATTTGGTGGTCTTTGCGTTTCTGGGAGACTCTTCCAGACAGCACAGCTGAGCCTCCTCCTGCACCTCAATCATGGATGACTCTGGGTTACCTCGTACATATTTACGAAGCTCCCTTCTAAGAGCAGGGTCTCTAACCCCCTCTATGAACTGATCCCTTAGCGTCTTTCTCTCATTAGTGACTGCTTCCGGAGAACACCTCAATACAGAATTAAGAGCTTGCGACAGGGCATGGGAAAATTCTCGAATGCCCTCCCCCTCCTGCTGTCTACGACTATAGAAACTATGCAGCAGATGGGGTACACTGCGCTTGTCCCTAAAAGCTGCTCTCAGGTAGGTGAATAAGTCGCTGGGATTGTCACAATCAGCATTACTGCGCATATGTGCTTCCTCTAAAGCTGCTCCCCTAAGAAGTGACAATACAAAATCATACTGGTCCTGATCGGACTGATTTCTTGCATGAAGCACACATTCAACTTCGCCAATAAAATCATCCACCGATTGGCCATCATTCTCAAAGTCACCAATAAATGGAGAGATATGTCTCTCTCCGCTTAGACCGCTTAGTTAGGGCAGCTATCGTCGCCATGGTGTCCTCATGTCTACTCTGTAGTTCTTTAATTTGCCCCCTCAAAACAGTCCCAGACTGCTCATCTTCTGAACCAGACATCGTAAAATACTCTATACCACACTTTTGGAAAGGATAAACAGTCCTCTGAAGGTCCCAGCGAGGGATGAGTACACCACCGGGTCGGCTCTTCTGCGAACGTCACAGGCCCCATCCGGCTCTGCCGCTTGGGCGCTTCTCGCACAGCCCCCAGTTACTGAAATTGCTCCACCAGTCCAGTGTCCCTCCAACCCACAGGAACCACAAATCTGTTTTTTCACCACCACCGTATTATTTTCCGTTTCTTTTATACTGCATACTCAACCATGTAAATCCTCTTAAATGATTGGAATAGACCCCACCCCAGGTACCAAGATTTGTGGCCCGAGAAATAACACTCAGGAACACAAACACTATTTTGGGTCTAATTTATTCCATAGATATATTTGAATAGATGTTTTTGTTGGAAAATAAGAAGATTTACATAAAACAGGAATGAAATAAAACTCCACACTCGGGTGGGGCTGGTACAGTGTAAACGCAAAATAAAACACACAAAAACACTTGAGGCTAATCTCGTATTAGCGAGTATGCAGTAAAAGGGAAAATAGTTTTACAGTGGAAATAATATAACTGTGGCACACTAAGAACACAAATACAGCATTATTAGCACACTGCTAACAATTGAACAAATATCAAACATGAAAAATACATTGTTACTGACTTTAAGGCATGAGCAGTAAACCGCTCTGAAACACCACTCTCTAAAATGAACAGACGGATACGATCCAGTTTACCAATATGTGGAAAGAAA